TTTCGCCCAGGCAGAAGCTGGCGATGTACTACAGGAGATGTTCTCCAGGGACATCCTCCTCGAGTGCCCTAACTGCATATCTTTGTCGAAGTTTCGCTGCTGTGTGTTTCTTTTTGGGTTGAAGGAACGGGTTGGCTCCAACAGAGAACAAAGAGCACGACTTCCAGAAAATTGTGGACATTCTCTCCCGGTTGGTCAAGCTACTTGCCACACATTGCGAGTGATTTTTGGTTAATTCTCTTGTTTTGTTAAGAATGAGCCGAGGCTTCACGACGATGGCTTCGATTTCTCTCGATGGTGCAGCTGGGCACACACCTCAAAGAGGACGCAGTTCACGGGAACCCTTCTCCTACTGTTCTGGAGTGGCATAGAGGCGGCATTTTCGGCAAACTATTCCTTACCCCCCCCCCCCCAGCAAGATTGTGCACAGGCCGGCATCAACCCTTTTCACATCATCAGTAAGAGTTCCGAGACAGAAGTCCCGGAGTCTAACTTCGAGAAGGTCGTCGACTTGACGATTCGAGCAGCCGTGATGCACTGGCAGGGCTGTTGGCTTGGAACGTCGGCACAAGCGTGCCAAATTTTGCATGTCGTAAGGCCCTGATGGACGAGCAGGTGTACGCGCTTTGGAAATCCACGCGCGTCCTCATGGAGCCGTTTCGGAATGTATCCCTGGACTTGGTATCTGGGCTGCAATCATGCAACTAACGCGGTCAGAGAGAATAAGAAGAGCGACCTGTCTACGCAACTAAGCAACGGAATGCCCGGAAGCTATGGCATCTGCACGGGCATGTGCTGGAAATGAGCAGCAAAAACGTGGAACGGATGCTCAGTGGTCTGGCCTTCGACGTCCTGCAGTCTCACGTCCTGGGACACGAGCCGGATGTGGAATTCCCGCAGGACCAGGCCATGGCCCGGATTTGGGCTCGTAAACAGGGTAGCTAGGTAACCGTCAGCTTGTCCTGCCACCTTCTTGCGTTCCACCCGAAACTCGTCCCTGTACCCTAATACCCTAAACCCTACATCCTAAACGTCTAAACCACGCAAAGCTGGCAATACCAGAAGCCAGCTCAGCCAGGGCAAATAGAATCCCTGCCCTAAACTGTGCTCTGCATGAGGCCCAAGCCCGTTCTGCCTGAAACCTAGTCCCTAAACCCAACTATGAAACTCCGAACCCTTAACAGCTTTGGAGCGTCAAAATCAAACACCCAAAGGACGAAACCTTCTGTCCAGGTCTGCCCCTAACTATGCTCTGCATTAGCCCTCAGCCCGTTTTCGCCTAATCCTAGTCCCTAAACCCCAAACTCTAAAACTCCGAGCCCTTAACAGCTTTCGAGCGCGAAAATCAAGGAGCCAAGGATGGCACCGTCTGTGATTGCACACTGCGGGGGGGGCGTTTGGCGACTTTGTGGCGGGTGTGCATGGGGGTTTGAGAGGTTGAGGGGTCTGTAGGGGTTTGATACTGCTGGCTGCGTGTGTCCCCCACCCACCTCCCCCCCCCCCTGCCACCCTACCCACACACCAGTTTGGACACCCCAACCCCAATTGTTTTTTATCTTGACCATTTCCTGCACCCTCGCTTTCGGTGCTGCGCCCTAGTTTCTATAGTTTGGGCAACCCCAGCTTGGGCACCCCAGCTTGGCACCCCCAGTTTCCACCCCCAGTAACTGGTGCAGTTAAGGTTTTGGTGATTCTCTGTTTTGTCCTCTTTTTCTTTTGGGTGGGGGGGCTTGGGAGGGAAGGGGGTTGGGCAGGGGAATTGGGGGTTCTTCCTTTCGTACGCCAATCCCAACCAAAAGCAGACCCTAAAGAAACGAGGTTTTGCAGCCGAAATTTGGAAGGGACAACATGGAGGCGGAGATACTCTTGGAGCAACTGTTCTCCTACTTCACCTGCTGCGCCGAGTTTCTGGAATACGTCTTGCACCTTCGGTCCTTCCCTTCTTTGTCGGCCGGACTTCTGGCTGAAAAGAGCACGGTGGACACACAGGCCACTATCTTGACGCAAGCCGAAAAGGAATGGAACATGGTGGTTGAAATGGAGAAATCGCCTGCAGGACAGGAAGTCTTGAGGAAGCATTGCATGTTCACAACATTTCAATGTTACAGAGAGATTCTTTCTGTGTTCGAACGACATCAATTCCGGTTTTGTGCCCCGGTCCGAGAGATCGTAGAAGCATGGTATCCCAGCTTCAGCCAAAGCAGCAACTTGGAAAACATCTTCCGGGAGATGGAGTATGCGATTCGCAAATCCGGAGCTCCTCAAGATTGTCTCACAAATCTGGGGTGCGTTGCCTTGCGGGCTTTGTTGAGAAGGGTGTGTCAAGACTCTGACAGCCCCAAAACGCCTGAGCTCGTGGAGGAGGACTGGGAGGGCAAGGAAATCCGAGGGCTCAAAAGCCGAATTTGGAGCCCGAGCTCGGCTTTGCCATGTGCCTGAGTGAAAGATTTCGCAAAGTTTATTAATGTTTTGGGGTGCTACCTGAGCATTGGCAAGCATGCTTCAATCACAGGCAAACACCTTCGCCTGGACGAGATCCTCAAGACGTTCCCTAGCACGTCGGCCCACCACATGACGCACCACGGGCTCAACACCATGGCGGCGTTGAAAGATGCGGTGTCGAAACTCGTACTCATTGCAGTGTAGGGCGTCGGGTTTGGGGTCTAGGTTGGGTTTCTGTTTTAGTTAAGCAGTTAAGGGTTAGGGCCAGGGTTTTGTAGTTCAGGTTTTCGGGTTTAGGGTTTAGGGGTAAGTAAGGATTAGGGTTTGGGTGTAGGGCGCGTTTTAGAACTTTAGGCTTTAGGGTTTAGGGTGCATTTCAGGGTCCAGCGTTTATTTGATGTTTAGTAGGGATTACCAGGAATGGAGAAAACCCTGTGGATGCCTCCAAGCACTTCTGGGTTGCAGAGTGCTTGCAGAGAGGCCTCCTTTTCCGCCATGCTGGCCAGTTCTACATGTGCATCAGCAATACGTATGCTGTGGTTCATGTTGCTTGGATTGCCTCGTTTTTTTTTTCTCAACGTTCTGTGCTCTTTTTACAAGGTTGGGCTGTAAAGACTCTAGAACATAGCGAGTCCAGTCCAGGCTATTCGCTTGAGAGAGCTTCCTTGGGAGTTCCGGGGCCTCCTGCCTGCAACGCAAAAGAACCACAAGCCCTTTGCTTTCGGTGCAAAAGCGGGGAGACAGCTTGCAGACCCCTTCCAGAAAGACGACGATAGAACACGTGCCCTGCGCCTGGACTTTGGCCCGCAACGTGACTGAGATAGGTTTCTCTTTTGCCCGCAAAACATAGTTTGTTTTCTTGATGTGAATAGTTGCTTCTGTTCTTGCAAACAGAAACAAAACAAGGAACATGTTTCAGACCGTCCGCCTGAGATCGGACCAGGCCCGTGCAACGAAATATTCTTGGGGGAAGAGACAATAACTAACCCATAATAAAGCGACGGCAAGTGTCTGAAACTGTTCAATTAAATCAACAAAGGTGGAGATATTTGAGTACTCGCTTCACGTTGCCGATGCTGCCTTGGCTGCAAAGTCAAGTACCATTCTGATTCGAAGGGCGCCGCAGCCTTGGAGCCTTCTCGTTTTCCTGTTCCGGGCAGAAATGATTTTGCAGATGACTTCAGCTGGTCTGAGTGAGCTTCTGGCACTGGAAGGCATAAGGATGCCAAAAAACGCAGCAAAGGCTGCAAAGATCAGAGGCCTCATGGAAACCACGTCCGTGAAAGAGAACACGGACCAGAACTTGAGGGACAGGATCGAGGCACTCTTGCAGCAGCAAGAACAAAGCAGGGGCAAGCGAAAAAGGACTGAGAATGATGAAGATGGCGGCGAAATTGAGCAGGAGAGGTTCAAAACGAATCATGTGTAGGCTATGTTGAAACATTTTTTCCGTAGAGCCTTTTTTTCTGGAAACGCACCAAGAATTGAGGAGCATGGTGAGGAGGATGTAGATCCCGCTTGTCTTGCTTGTGAGCAGCTCCTGGCCGAGCTCGAGGAAGATGAGCAGGCCAGCCAAGCAAAGGCTGCGGGACAGCATATTTAGGGCCCTGGGTTCTGTTGCTTAGCCCTAGGGCCATGGCTTCCTAAATAAGTAGAGGGATTCCCTGTCAGCCTTTTTTTGTGTAAAATATCGACAACCTTTCGCTTGTTCCTGCGTCTCTGCTTTAAGCAATCAAGCCAAGGATGCTCCGGCAGAGCCGGAGGAGACAGCCGAGGCGAGAGAAGCGAGGTTGAGATCTTCGAGGGCTCTTTTGACAAAGAGCTCTTCAGTGCCAGAGTGGCTTACTTCCCGGTTTCCAGTTCCTGCCTGGGGCGCAATCCACCACACCGTGTCCAAGGATGGAAACAATCCATTGTTTCAAGCAAAGCTGGCGAACAAGGAGGTCTTCGACGGGAAGAGCCTTTGCATACATTGGACACATTTCTTGTTTATTCTTTTTTCGCAAAGATCGTTCCTGGCCAACAGAGGAACAGCTGCGGATGCTCGTACAACGCCAACTTGGACCAGGAACAACTGGACGAGGCAAAGGCCAATCCGAAGAATGTGACGCCAAAAGATCGATCAATGGCTCAGGCCTATTTCATGGCTTGGTCATGGCTGCAGCGAGCAGGCGATGCTCAGAATGGTCGTGGTGCTAAAAGAAAGAGGGATGACAACCTGTGAGCGAGCAAGACTGAACATCAGAGAACTCAGAATAGTGGTCCTTTCACTGATATCGACAACTTTCATGCTTGAAGCTCACGGGATGTGGGTCCAATCCACAGTATTTAACGTGTGGAGAAGACAACAGCGAACCGCTCAAGCTGAGGAAAAGAAACAATCGAGACAGCATGCAGAATTCCTAGGAGCATGCACCTTGAGGCAGAATGCAAAGGGAGGCCCTTGACTAAACCCTAAACCCTAAACCCTAAACCCTAAACCCTAAACCCTAAACCCTAAACCCTAAACCCTAAACCCTAAACCCTAAACCCTAAACCCTAACCGCGAGCCAAAAGGCCTTCATGAGCGGCGACTTCCCCTGGGAGTCGCGGCAGTTGGGCTCCGCAGGTAGGTCCAAGAGCTGGCTCAGGGCCCGGAGATCGCCTTTTCGCGGAGGGTTTAGGGTTTAGGGTTTAGGGTTTAGGGTTTAGGGTTTAGGGTTTAGGGTTTGGGGTTTGGGGTTTAGGGTTTAGGGTTTAGGGTTAAAGTAAACCCTAAACCCTAAACCCTAAACCCTAAACCCTAAACCCTAAACCCCCTAAACCCCTAAACCCCCTAAACCCCTAAACCCCCTAAACCCCCAAAAAAAACCCTAAACCCCATAAACCCCCTAAACCCCCTAAACCCCCTAAACCCCTGAACCCCTAAACCCCTAAACCCCTCACCCCCTCAACCCCTCACCCCCCAAACCCCTGAACCCCTAAACCCTAAACCGTAAACCCTAAACCCTAAACCCTAAACCCTAAACCCCCAAGCTCAAAAGGCCCCCTGACAAGGCGCCTTTGTCCGCCGCCTGGAGCAGCTGCTCTTCCGAGCCGTGGCCGCAGGGAAGGATCACCAGCTGAGATGCGTTTTAAGGGGTTTAGGGTTTAGGGTTTTAGGGTTTTGGGGTTTAGGGGTTTGCAGTTTCGGGTTTCGGGTTTCGGGTTTCGGGTAAGGGTTTAGGGTTTAGGGTTTGGGGTTTGGGTTTAGGGTTTGGGGTAACGTTTTAGGGTTTAGGGTTTAGGGGCTTAGGGCTTAGGGCGTAGTATATAGAGCTCAAGGGTGCCTGTGCAGGGCTGCGGGTGAGATGTTCTAGTTAGAGTCTGTCACTGGCGGAGTTTTCAGTTGGGATGGGGAGGGGGGCCATTTTCAGGCTATCTACGCAGCAGTTTCTGGGCAGTGTGCCTAGAGATGTCAAACCCGAAAGCATGAAAACCATCATAAACCCTAAGCCATTCTAAGGCCCTAAACCCCACCCCAAACCCTCAACCCCAGCCCTGATACCCAAACCCCATAATTAACCCTAAACCCTACACCTCCAAACCGTGAACCCTAAAGCCTGCTTTGAAGCATCAGGTCACCCCCACAAGAAAGCCCTCATGGTCCCAAATCGGTATTTGGGGGTTCTTAGTAACGCAATGATAGCTGCACTTTTAAACCCAACTATAGCGCTATTAGGGTACTTAAGTTGCTTATAAGTGGGTTATGACCTAACCCGAAACCCTAAACCCCACTTATAATTGGCCTACTAAGTACCCGAAGCCTCTAAACCCTAAACCCTAAACCCTAAATTTTAAACCCTAAGTAATAGGAAAAGGCCTGCAAACGAAGCGACTCTCAGCCCCAAGAGCCCTCAGGGTTTACCAGTTCATGGTTGGGATAGGATGAAAAACAACCCAAATCTCTACTCCTTGTTGAGTTTAAGTACCCTGAAACATGCAAAATGTTACCCTGCTATGACAAAGTTTAGGGTTTTGGGTTGAGGGTGCGGGCCTCGGGATGAGGATGTAGGGAGGCTGTCAGCTTAGGCGGCGTGGGGTGAGAGCGCGCGCAGTGTTTCATGTCCAAAGCTCAGGTGCTTGTTGCACGGTAATGAAGCACCTATCCTTCACTGCCCCTATCACAGCAAGCCCTCAACCCTAAACCCTAAAAACCCTGTAAACCCTACAAACCCTATACACCCTACAAACCCTACAAACCCCATAAAGCCTATAAAACCCACAAACCCTAGAATAAACCCTAGAATAAACCCTAGAATAAACCCGATAAACCCGATAAACCCTAAACCCTAAACCCTAAACCCTAAACCCTGCCTGCAGCTCCTCTGGCTCACCCAGCTGTTGGAAGGACGCGTTCTCCGGCACCAGCCCGCCCCCTGGGCTTCCGAGAGCCGAGATTGTAGCAGAGTCCGAAGCCCCAAAGCCCCAGACGCCTAGGGTTTAGGGTTTAGGGTTTAGGGTTCAGGGTTTAGGGTTTAGGGTTTAGGGTTTAGGGTTTAGGGCATATTCTACTTACCCTCAGGCCTAAACACAGTCTGGTATAAGAAAGTCCCTGAGCCCTAAACCTTGTAGAGTCATGGTCTTTGGGCCAAGCGCTTAGAGCCATAGGGCTGGAGCTTTGTGGGTGGCCTTCACAGCGCCAAGCAAAAATACGACTCAGCCGCAGGATTTGCCCCAACATATAGATCCCTACATAGTAGGATCCCTTTATAATTAGGACCCGAATAAGGTAACCTGAATATCGTAAACCCCGCAGGTTCCCCTGCCAGACCTTGTGTTCAGATCTCAGTAAGTGTGGCCTCACGGAGACTTAGAGTTTGGAGTGCACACTGAACTGGCACCAAAACACCTGCAGTTCCTAAACCCTGAACCCTAAGCCCTAAACCCTGGCACCCTAAACCCCGCCCAAAGCATGGAAGACACTCAACCCCTAACCCGCGATTCCCTTAGCACTGGAAGACCCGGAGTCCCAGACTCCAAACCTTCTAACCTGGAACCAAGGGGTTTAGGGTTTAGGGTTTAGGGTTTAGGGTTTAGGGCTTCGGGCTTCGGGCGCAGGGTCGAGGGTACTACGTACCTAAACACCCTTGACACCCGAAGCAATGTTACGCAGTGGAAGACTCTAAAAATCCAAGAACCCTCCAAAGCCCACCAAGCATGGCGAAGATGCCTCGAACGTTACCTGCAATAAGGCGCCCGCCCCTCCCCCCCCCCTCAGGTCCTCATGGAGGGTGCATGGGGGAGGGGGGCTGGTAAAAGTCAAAACCTTAAACCCTAGCTTCTAAAACCCCTAAACCCTAAACCCGAAACCCTGAACCCCTAACCCTAAACCCTATACCCCAAACCCTAAACCCTAAACCCTAACCCTAAACCCTAAACCCCTAACCCTAAACCCTACACCCCAAACCCTAAACCCCAAACCCCAAACCCGAAACCCTAAACCCCTAACCCTAAACCCTAAACCCCAAACCCCAAACCCGAAACCCTAAACCCGAAACCCTAAACCCTAAACCCCCCTAAGTCTCAGGCCCGGGCCGTTCGGATCCAAGAGCCGCTGTCGGAAAGCTGGCACGGCTAGCCTCTAGAAGCCGAGGGTTTTGCAGGGTTTTGCAGGGTTTAGGGTTTAGGGTTTAGGGTTTAGGGTTTAGGGTTTGGGGTTTGGGGTTTGGGGTTTGGGGTTTGGGGTTTGGGGTTTGGGGTTTGGGGTTTGGGGTTTGGGGTTTGGGGTTTGGGGTTTGGGGTTTCGTTTTACAGGGTTTAACGGGTTCAAAGGGGGCTTAACGGGTTTTAGGGGTTTCAAGGGTTTAGAGGGTGTATTAGAGGTCTAAAGGGGTTTAAAGGGTTTAAAGGGGTTTAAAGGGGTTTAAAAGGTTTAAAGGGCTTAAAGGGTTTAAAAGGGTTCAAAGGGGTTTAAGGGGTTTAGAGGGTTTAAGGGGTGAAAAGGGTTTAGGGGTTTGAAGGGTTTATGGGGTTTAAAGGGTTTGGGGTGCAGGGTTTAAGTTTCCGGGTTTAGGTCTAGGGGGTAAGGTTTGGGTCTTAGGGTTTGGGGGGTTCAGGGTTTAGGGTTTTTTTCAGGCCTCGGGTTTACGAGGTTTACAAGGTTTAAAGGTTTAAAGGGTTTACAGGGTGTAGGGTTTACAGGGTCACCAGGTTACAGGGTTTGGGCTTTTAGGGCTTACAGTGCGTAGGGAGTTTAGAGGGGTTGATAGGGTTTACTGCGGATATCCCAGGTGCGCATGGCGGATTGCACCCGTTGGTAGCTCTGCCCCCTGAAAACCCTATCTAGACTCAAGAGTAGCCTAGGAAATGACAAGGGTCCTCCAAAACCGAAAAATAAGCCCTGAAACCCAAAACCCACAACCCTACACCACAAACTCTCCACCCCAAGCCCTAAACACTAAGAACCTAAACCCCAAAGAAGGTGATGGCTTGGGGTCAGGGGAAGGGGTGAGAGGGGTGTGTGTGGCGGGGGCCGGGGGGAAGGGGGTGATCTTGAGCCAAGTCGCCGATCCTCCATTGCCTCTTTCCTCAAGGTTTTAGGGTTTAGGGTTTAGGGGGTTTGGGGTTCAGGGTTTCGGGGGTTAAGGGGTTTAGGATTTGGGGTTTAGTTGTTCAACCCTGAGGATTCAAGGCAGTTTAGGGTTTAGGGTCTATAGGGTTTAGGGTTTAGGGTTTTTAGGGTTTTTAGGGTCGCTGCAAGTTTTCCACAAGAAGCCAACCGCAAGGGGGTCTCAATGAAGATAATTCCACGGCGGGGGAGTCGGGTTTAGGGTTTAGAGTTTAGTGTTTAGGGTTGAGGGTTTGAGGGTTTGGGTTTAGGGTTTAGGGTTTGGGGTTTAGGGTTTAGGGTTTAGGGTTTAGGGTTTAGGGTCTAGGGTCTAGGGTCTAGGGTTTACGGTTGAGGGCAGGGCGTGAAGCCCAGGATTTTCGCTTAGGGGGTTTGGGGTACGACCGTTCCTGGCAAGATCGCTCCTGATAGATCGCTTCCGTTGCTTGGGTCTATTGAAGCTTACGGGTTTGGGGTTGCGGGTCTTCCCTAAAACCTAAACCCTATAACTCCTGGAAACCCTTTCAACCCTACACCCTAAACCCTAAACCCTAAACCCTAAACCCTAAACCCTAAACCCTAAAACCTAAACCCTCACCCATATGAAGCCATGGAACCCCGAAGCGACAACCCTGAACCCTCAGCTCATAGGACTGCCCTTGGAACCTTTTGGTGCACAACCTTAGGGTACGAGTCTTAACCCCTTGAAGCACAACCCTAAACCCTAAACCCGAAACCCTCAACCCTCAACCCTCAACTCTAAACCCTAAACCCCCAACCCTAAACCCTAAACCCTAAGCCCTAAACCCTAAGCCCAAACACTAAACCCTAACCCCTAACCTAAAGGAGGGCTTTGTGGATGTAGATTCGTAGGGTTCAGAGTTTCATGGCCGGGTGTCACGGCCATGGCGAAACCCAAGGGCGACAGCGCCTCGAACGGCTTCGGGTTTAGGGTTTGGGGTTTAGGGTTTGGGGTTTAGGGTTTTGGGCTTAGGGCTTCGGGCTTAGGGTTTAGGGTTTAGGGAGGGTTTGGGGTTTAGGGTTTAGGGTTTAGGGTGTAGGGTTTAGGGTCGGGGTTTTAGGGACAACATCTGCACAGGTTTGCGAGTTCCTGGCATTTGCACATAGCGCCAGTCCCGACTGACCAAGCGTTCCAAGCCGAAGCCAGGCCCAACCCCCGGGAAAACCGTGAGAACCCCAAGACAGAATCACCCTGGACCCTAAACCCTAAACCCTAAACCCTAAGCCCTAAACCCTAAACCCTAAACCCTAAAGCCTAAACCATCCTAAACCCCAAAACCCTATCAACACCTTGAACCCTAGGGTTTAGGGTTTGGGTGTCGGGGCAAAACCTCCACCGCTACCCGCTAGCCCTTGATGCCATAAGGGGGTTTAGGGTTTAGGGTTTAGGGTTTAGGGGTATGCCACTTAGGCACCAGCAGCTCCAGCTCCAGGGTCGCAAGGGGCTCCCCCGACACAGAGACGACACGTAACATGGCGTCCAAAAGAGTCTTATTTAGGGTTTAGGGTTTAGGGTTTAGGGTTTAGGGTTAGGGTTTAGTAGGGTTTAGTAGGGTTTAGTGTTTAGGGTTTAGGGTTGGTGTGTTTAAGGTGAAAGGTGCTTGGCTTACGGGTTTCGGGGTTTAGCGTCTTATGCTTCAGTGGCGTGAGTGGGGGTTGAGGGTTTTAGGGGTTAGGGTTGAGGGTTTAGGGCTTTAGGGTTTAGGTTCTTGCTTGACGTGCAGGTGTAGCGGCCGGGGTGGGGGGCTTGTTCATTGGAGATTTAGAGTTTCAGGGTTTCGGGTTTCGGTTAGATTTCAGGGTTTGGGGGAAGAACTACCCCTGTCAGCTGCGATGCGAGAAAGGCCGCCCATGCAGCTTGCGCGTGGGTTTTTGGCCGTTTATGCACCACCTCAACCCTAAAATCTAAAACCCTCCAAGTGAAGCACAATGTTCATGGCCCTCAAGGTCCAAGCAAGATAGGTAGAGAAACTGAAGAATGGAGAAAGAAGCCAAAAGAATGAAGCCTCCAGCAGACATGGGTTTAGGGTTTAGGGTTTAGGGTTTAGGGTTTAGGGGGTGTCCCAGGATTCATGATTGATGATTGCAGCAGTCGAAGCCTCAGACTGCACTCCCCTCAAAAAGCATATTTTGTACACCTTTGTGTATAGGTACATCGAATTGTCATACACACACATATAAATATAAATATATATATATATACACACACATATATACATATATATGTATATATACGTATATACATATACACATATATTATCTACATTTTTACATATATACATATATACATATATGCATATATACATATATACATATATATATATACATATATGTTTAGTTCAGGTTGTTTTTGTGTATATCTGTATATGTACATACACCTACATATATCCATTCATATGACTCCGTAAGTACTAACATCTCAAGCCGCTTTCCTAGACCTGATGGCCCAAGCGAGCTCGGGAACCCTGAGGCGAGGGCTCAATAGCCTTAAACTGCTCCTCCTCGCACAAACAAGGGCTTGGGGTTGAGGGTTGAGGGTTTAGGATTTTAGGATTTTGGGTTTAGGCACTTGGGGGGCAGAGGGGGTTAGGGTGGGAGGGAAGGAGCAGGAGATGTCGAGGTGTTGAGTTTTGCTTTCAGGGCTGAGGGCTGGAAAATTTTGCGTAGGTCAGCGCAGGGTTCCAAGCTTTGGGACCACACCAAGGGACACAAAACATAGACCCCCAAATGGCAGGATTCCCTGAGAATAAGGACCCCAATTTCGGAAACCCCCGTATACGAAAAGTCATGAATAGGGATTCTAGTACCCCCTATTTGAATCCCGACTAAGGACCGTCAGCATATGGGGAACATCCCCCAAACCCTAAACCTAAAACCCAAACCTTAGACCCTAAACCCTAAACCCTGAACTGGGGCCCGAACCATCTACCCTTAATCAGCCTCGGGCGGGGGGCCTGTCCTTGGTGTTCGTGATGGCCCGGGGCTTCTCCTCTGGCCGCCTCCCGCAAGAACTCCTAAACCCTAAACCCTAAACCCTAAACCCTTAACCCTAACCCCTGAACCCTAAACCCTAAACCCTAAACCCTGCGTAAGCCTATCCCTATGTTGGGTTTAGGGTTTGGGGCTTCGGGATCTGGACGGACAGGAGTGCGTGCCCAAGCATTTCGGTACATTTGCCTTCTTCAGAGAATCTACATATGGGTTCAGGGTTTAGGGTTTAGGGTTTAGCTGTCTGGGCAGACATGTTGTTGGAGTGCGGCGCGTTCCCGCGCGTGTATGTTCCAGCACATTTGCAGGTTTTCGGGACTTTCTGGGGGTGGGGGAGGGTTTAGGGTTATACTAAAAGGCCAGACGTTGTTAAGCCAGTTGGGGGTGTCGAAACATAGGGGTCCCTTTAAGGTATCCTCTTGCATTTGGGGTATAAAAGGGGGGAACCTATTTTGGGAAATGCCCAGTTCAGCGTTCCCGGGCTTCAAAATGAGGGCTTTGGTTGCCGACGGGTGTTTAGGGCTTCGGCGAAGGAAACGGGCCAAACCCTGAACCCTAAACCCTAAACCCTAAACTAAACCCTGAACCCTAAACCCTAAACCCCAAACCCCTGCGCCCTAAACCCTGAACCAGTGGGGAAGGCCTTGAGGGCCACTCTAAACACAAATCCGCATCCACCCCTTTCTGCACTGGAATTTGTACTCCAACACACTGAACAGGGTTTAGGGTTCAGGGTTTAGGGTTTAGGGTTTGGCCTTTAAAGGCTCGTGTAGTTCTCTGAATTAGGTTCCCTTTTAGGCTCCACCTATACGACGGCACTGTGAACAGGACCCCCTTCCAAAGAGAGAACGAATTCCGCACCCCCCGACCTCCTGCACATCGTAACTCCCCGAAGCCGAACCGGGAAAGCCCCCTAAACTTGGGATGTTTCCCCTTATACTAACAGTTCTTGATAAGAATGTACGTACTATAATCCCGATTAAGGACTGTGAGTATAATGGGGAACATCCCTAAACTTTAAACCCTAAACCCTACATGTGAGAGGATCTTGGGTATGTGGGAACTTTCGTTCCGGTGTGGTAGAACAAAAACAAAACGAAAAACCTAAGCCCCCCTCAAAGAAACCCCAAACGTCAAAATACAAACAGGGAGACCAAATCAGATCCCTACAAACTTGGCTGCACTTAGCAGGGTAGCCATAAATTTAATTTTAGCTGCCTTGTTAAGAAACCCAATAAAACCCCAAAAGGCTAAGGATCTAAAGTTACAGTAAAGCACCACAGAGCCAACAACACTCTGAGATCGTGGCTGGAGAATGGGTCCGAAAGCCTCGCGCGGGGGCCGCTCCTCTGCCTTCCCGCCGGGGACATGTGTGGCAACTTCTTTAGGTTCAGGGTTATAGGGTTTAGGGTTTAGGGCTTAGGGGTGTCGGGTTTAGGGGTCAAGGGTTTAGGGTTTAGGGTTTAGGGGTTTGGGGGCTTTGGTTCCTTTCAACCTCCTTCGTGGAGTCGTAGAGCACGGAGCTGGTGTTCTTCTACATTGGTGGTCCTTTTCCCGTTCCGGCCTGTGCTGTGGCAGATTTGTTGTTGAAAGGTACCTGCTCTGTTCCTTCCTGCTAAACCACCTGAACCCTGACAGAAAAACCCTGACAGCTTTTCTGGTTCATAGACCTTAATTGGGACTATATTGGTATAGGGGATACGACTCCAATTTTTAGGGTTCGTTTGGTCCCCAAGTTTGGAACAACCCCCGCAGGTGGATGGGCAGAAGACGAGGCAGGGAACGCCTGTTAGTGCAATTAGGGGGGAAGGGGGGGGGGGGGGGGGGGGGTTGTAAAAGGAAAGCCTGGAGCCTAAACCCCTCAAAGCTCAAAGCTACAGCCTCAACACTGAACCCTGAACCCTAAACTGCCCTAAACCCTAAACCCGAAACCCTGAACCCTAAACCCTAAACCGCCCTAAACCCTAAACCCTAAACCACCCTAAACCCTAACCCTAAACCCTAAACCACCCTAAACCCTAAACCCTAACCCTAAACCCTAAACCCTAAACCCTAAACCCTAAACCCTAAACCCTAAACCCTAAACCACCCTAAACCCTAAACCCTAAACCCGCGAACGGTTCTCGGCCGCTCCATAGACTTTCTGTCAAGGCTTGGGGCTGCAGGTGGGAACCTTAGGGTCTCAGGCTTTCAGGGTTTAGGGTTTAGGGTTTAGGGTTTAACCAAAGACTTCCGACCCACAACCCCAACAGCCCACAAAGCCCTGCAAGCCCCTAAGGCTTGAACCCTGAACCCTGAACCCTCTCAAAAACCCTAGACAACTGACCCCAAGCCCAATATGAACCCCAAACCCTAAACTTCCTAAACCCTGAACCTGAAACCCTAGACCCTAAACGTCCCAAACCTTAAACCCTAAACCCTAAATTGCCGAGACCCTGAACCTTAAACCCTAAACCCTAAACCCCCAAGGGTTCAAGAGCGGGTCCCTGCCTTGTCGACCGGCAGCGCGAGGGTGGGATCCTTAGGGTTCAGGGTTCAGGGTTCAAGTTGAGGGTTCAGGGTTTAGGGGTTTTAGATGATATTAGGGTTTAGGGTTTAGGGTTGGGTTTCGGGGTTTTCAGGTATTCGGGTTTAAGGGACTTACACGATACTTGCATGGAGGCTCCCAGAGGATAACGTTGACAATTGTTGTGGCTCCCGTGCTCCTTCGACTCCCTTCGGCAACCGGCTCAATGAGGGAATCTTATGCACAACCTCCGGATATTGGGCTGCTTAGGGTTTAGCTGTTCTGGCCCAGGGTTGCTTCTATGAAGTTTTAGGACGTGGGTTGTTGAGGGTTTACGTTTGTGGCGGGAAAGCTGAGCACCTGGCCAGCGGGCCTGTAGAAAGGCCACCTTG